ATTTTCAATGAGCATAAAAAATAGGTGTGGTGGGATTGAAATGACTAAATATAACATTTTTGCAAGTCTTTGGCTCAATAAGTATTTTTCTAATTGAATATTATAGTAGAGCGTACTCTTATGCAGACACAATAAAATACATCTGCTGTAATAAATTGCTTTAGTCAAATATGTATATTTTTCTGGAAATCAATAACTTTGCATTGCACCTTGATGATTACCTGTTAACTAATTAAGCGCACTGAGATGACTCAGAAACTCAGAATACAAGATACCTATGAGTAGCGCACTGAAAAAAGAGCTGATTAATTCAAGTTTTAGTTACTGTTACAAAAAAGTGCCTAGCAAACTGGTTGTTATCTTTAACAAAACCGGTAACACAGATTAAGATAGTGAGATTTCGGCTCACTACAAATAATATTTTTATACCTATTTACACAAATTATAATTACCTCTCAAAAGTAGCATTAAAAAAAACAAAAATACGAGTACGTATCTCTGCGATTCATTTTCCAGTGTATTAAAAGTACAATAATCGTGCTTCCGATAGTAATTAATTTCATTAAAATATTAGTTTTTTAGAAAACAACAAAGGTATGCAAATACTATAAGTTTAACCTAGATGTATCGTAGAGATTCAGTTCGAATAGATAACTGTTCCCCGGTACTGTGCAGCACAGATGAGATTGCTCATATAACTGCAGGTAAATGCGGGGTCCGGAGGGCTGCCAACTGCGTTTGAATTCCACATTTTCAATTTTGTCGTGAGTTCGTGACACGGGATTTTCTTATGTCGCAATGGAGATTTAGCTTTAAAGGCTATTGAAGAAACAAATGAAAAGCCAAATAGATGAAATGGAGTTGAAAACATGATCCTTAGTGCATTCCTAAAGTTGCTTGCATTCGGAATAAGTGACACAGAATAACCCTCGTATTCACAAATGATGCTTGATTAAATGAAGCAGCAAATCGAACGTACAGCGTTGAATAGAGCTCTGTGATTGGTTCGTGTGTCACTCTGTGCGTCCACGCGCACTGTGAGACCTCATAGTAATGTTTGTGAATACGAGCGTAAGTGTTACCATTCAGAGCAGTTACTCGTTGACTTTCTTTTTCTTCGATATTCAGAGGATAGTCTGTACATCTTAAATTAAGATAACGTCACCCGGTACTTACTGATTTTATCGCAGATAATAAATCTACATTTATAGCGTACTCATTTTACTCTATTTCATCAGCCAAAACAACACCCATCATAGTACCATTTAGGCCCATATTGTGAAACGATATGCCCAAAACCTGATTAAACACACAACACATTAAAGTCTGTGATTGTAGCAATTTTGTATTTAATATTGAGTGTCTTTTCATCTGAAAATTCTAGAATATTCCCTGTATTCGTGTATCATTGAATTTTTTGGCAACCCTTTGGAGGTAAGACGAGGTGGGGGCTGCATTGCTTGCTCGCTATCCCCGCCACATAGTTTTGTTCGCAAGCTCTCATCGGCCTGGAGCTCCGCTTAAGGCCCAGCTCTAATTGGACGTCTCAAGTGGCCTAACGTTGTAACAATAGCTAACATTGTGCCCCTAAACAGGGAGTGAGGACAGGTCACGTGATGTTAAAAGATTGATTATAATGTTGCTTTGTAAATCTGATCATCAATGGTACTTGAAGCACTTCACTAATTGTGTCCTTCAGAAAGAGAAATAATTAGAATATTTCCAAACTAGGGCCCGTTACAAAGTTTTCGTTTTTTTTTAGTGTGTTAGAATGGTCACAATTTGTATAAGGTCTCATTTATCACTGCCAGAATTGTGCGTGTAAGGCAATTGATTTTATTTAAGATATGTAATAATTACATTATAATTGTTGTTGGATGAAAATCCGTTATTCGCATTTGAAACGAACCATAAACCTGACGAATATTTTCATATCAAACAGTTGTTTGTGTCGAACAGTCTGTTTGAATAGTAGCAGCCTCGAGAGACAGAAGTTTGATAGAGATGCTTGTTAATGTTCAACTCTTGGCCGTCACTCTGCCATCCGATGTCCCCTGAGGCGAGTGCCTCCCCATTTGATATGTAACACGGTTCATGTTTTGATTTAATAAATACAGCTTTGTGATGTCTCAATTTTGATGATTTAATTTACAGTAACGTTAAATAGGCAATCAGTAATGTAAACCTTAAATTGCATTTATTGATGCTTTTTCATTTTTTAATACTTCTATTTTACCCATTTTCAAACACTTTTTGTATTAGGTACCTAATCTTAAACAAACAGGAAAACGGCTTAAAAGGTAAGGTAATATAATATTAATTCTTTTGGAATACTTACTTCTTTTTTAAAGTGAAAATCTTCGGGGGTTATTTTATTAGTTAGATCGTACCATATCCAGAAAAAAATTTGTTAGTCGTAACGAGAAACGTCAACGCCTCATTTTCTTGCACCAGGGTCTCATATCCTTCACTAGAGAATACTTCTGCTCCAAGCCTCCAACAATTATTGGTCCAAATCTTTTGGGCTAGGTTAGTTTCTTTAATTATCTACCTTGTAAATTCATTTTTGGAGATCATTTTGTCAATTTATTTATTTCCCGTTCCTGAAAAAAAATCGTTTCGTTCGTTCTTTTCAGCCAAATGACGTCCAACTGCTGGACAAAGGCCTTTCCTTGGGGGACCAAGGATTTCCATAACGACAGGTCCTGCACTGCCCGCATCCAGATACTTCCCGCGATCTTCACTAGATCGTCAGTCCACCTTGTGGACACCTTGTGATCGTCAGGCCTGCCTACACTACGACTTCCGTCGCGTAGTAGCCACTAGATAATTTTTCTGCCCCAGCGGCCATCAGCTCTGCGAGCTACGGCTATGTGCCCTGACCACTGCTTTTAGCAATTCCGCGGGCTACGAGTATATCGGTCACTTTGCTCGTACGCTTCGTTACTACATTGTTAGGGTATCAATATTTAGAAAGTATTTAACGATATATTAATCAATATAAATCGTCAAGTTCTTTCAAAGTATTTTAAAATCCAAAATTATAATCAAACGAGACTAATTAAGAGTCTTACCCTTAACTCAGAACCGAGCGGAACTGCATCCGCACTGGTTCTTGTTGAACGCGCCGCGCCGCAGCTTAGAGCAATTTGCAAGAGTTCATACCATCGCGAGGTGTTTGCTGCACAGTTTTATTAAAAGCACTCCCGCTTGTGCGATGCAAATTGTTTTAAATATTAAAATCGCTGGATTTACTCATTTTACGTTCACGTTAATCGGCGCCTGTTTAAAACTTTTTTAAACAGGCGCCGATTAACGTGAATTTGTCGGAATGCAAATTGGTTTTGTGTTGACTCTGAAGTCTTGAGATTAATTTTATCAAGTTAATTTTTCTGGATAGGTAAGTATCGATGGTGCTGTTTTAGGAAGGAATATAAGATACAAAAAGATATAACTAATTACCAGCCAAAACAAAGTTTGATGCAGTTTACACACACCAAACCCGCCGCCATGAGTCGTCGACAAATTATGGTTTAAAATAAAGCCGCCGACCAAACCGCAACGCTGTAGGTAGGCGGACTTGGTGTAGAGTTATTTATGCAGTCCTAAGAGTGGAAACATCCACAAAATAAATCTTTACTTTAAATATGACTGCATTAGGACTTACGATAAAGACTGGTATTACCTAATTACGAAAACTACTGACTTGCAGTTGCAGAATGCTGATTAATCTCGCCGATAAAGCAATAAATGTTTCGGATATTCGGTTCGAGACAAAACCAACGACGTTTATAGGGTTTTCCTCGGACTGGCTATAACTGATATCTGAACCGTCGCCTCGATCAATGATCCGATGTGGGTGCGGCGTGTACGGAATATAACGCTACCCGCTCTGTACTGAAGGAGCGTTTTGTCAAATGTCAGACGGACGACGCCTTTCGTAGGTAAGTACTTACCTAGAAAGCGTACGGCATATTTTAGTACATGCTAAAGGCTAAAGGTTAGGAGGAATTCGGTAAAGCTATCAAATAGCCATTGAAATGATGTGGGATCACAAAATCTGTAAGGGTAAGTTTTTGTCAAAAATGTCAGCGTAAACACATTTCGTAAGTAATACCTACAATAAATTAACTAAAATAATCCGAAGGTTTTAACATACTAATTGAGATAGTATTTTTAAAATGTTTCTTATTTACTGCTAACGAAAAAGTTACCGCTAAAGCCACCATTGTATCAGATAGAAGCTAAAGTTTCATACAGATTCCTCATATAGGAATGCAAAGTACTAATTGCCTTATGCTTCAATCATAGATGTTTGATATTATAGGCAGACAGATCGGAATAGCCACTGTCGTAGTCGTCCATTATCAAATTAAAGCTGATGGGCCTGTCAGACTTAATGCCCAGACGTTTCTAGCCAAACAAGATTTGACAGTGGTGATGCCTCGATCTAGCTCTAAGCTTCGGTACACCGCAGTCTCATTAACCGTTTAGCGGGAAGCTCCGAGCTGATTGGATTAGATTAGACACTGCAGTAAACGCCTATTCTAAGACAAACCTATGCCCGACCAAACAGTCTTGAGACATTGATTTGCTTTTTCCATAGAAACCTTTCTTTACCAATCTGTAATCTGAGAATTTTCAATAAGGATCAATTTTATTGATAAGTCATTCTATGCCAACTCTGAGAAAAAATCTGTAGTTTTCACTTATTAAAAAGATTTAAGTGCCTACTAGAATTTTAGCTGGTTGCTCCTACATTAGACAAAATATTTACTATCTTCTATTCTTCTAAATATATATACCTCAAAGGTGACTGACTGACTGACATAGTGATCTATCAAAGCACAACCCAAACCATTGGACGGATGGGGCTGAAATTTGGCATGCATGTAGATGTTATGACGTAGGCATTCGCTAAGAAAATTTTTTACGAAACTCCATCCCTAAGGAGGTCAAACGGGATCCACGCGTACGAAGTCGCGACCGGCCGGTAGTATTCAATAAAACAATAATGTCCTTTTAGAATTAATTAATTTTACTGCTATGATGATTTGGTTCCGATGACAAGCCGACTGAACCAGACATGTGCTTTTATTTTTCCACACGACAACAGCCCCCTTCCTGCTTCTTCTTCTGCACTTAGCCCGGTCCTGAGTTTCCTGGAAAACATTTGTAGCTTACATAAATAATGTTCACACATAATGCTTTCGTGGAAATGATGGATCAAACAAAAACCTGAATAAAACTTTCTGATGATATTGGTATATTAAATAGATAAAGTAGCTATAAAAACTGCTGGATCTGTGGGCTGAGTGTGAGTTTACATTAAACGTTCTCACTAGTGAGCGCGTTAAAACAATGTATGAAAATTTTAGTTCTTGAAAGTTTCCGCTAGGGGCGCTGTATAATCCGTCATACATTTAATGTCACTTTTTTCGACATCGAATGCGTTTGACGTAAACTCACAGTACGCCCCCTGATCAGTGTGCTTACCATGAGTTCACGTTAGGTGTGCTCGCTAGCGACTGCGTAAAAAAATGACATTAATTGTATGACATATTGTGCAGCGCCCCTAGCGGCTACTTTCAAGAAACAAAATCTTCATAGAGATTTTTGACGTACTCGCTAGCGAGCACACATAACGTAAACTCATGGTAGGCACACAGTCATATTGAAATTACTGATGAAGTCGTGTGATGCTGCTATTAGGTAATCACGTCAGTTGAGCCTCTTATTTATTCAATCCAAACAACAAATCTTTATTATTAAATTAGATCAAACGTTTGTTTCCAGAAAAACAACAATTTTTAAATAGTAATTTGTCTTAACAAACACAAAAGTTAGTAAGTTAATCTTGAAAAGTTAAACAGGAACATATGTACAGTGCTACAGTTAAGAACTAATCCATAGTTTGTTAGCTCCGTAGACAAGAGTGTGAAACCAATAGTTTACGGTTACCAGACCACGATTGGTTTGACGACAATCAACCTAATGTCTATGTGTTTAGTGGTATATTCGTCTGGAAATTGTTCTAACCACATGTAAAGGAGAGACCGAGAGACTTAAGAGACACATGTCATCAAGATCAGCCAATTCATTATTATAAAATAAAATGTATGTGTGCTATGCTTGTAACTATAACGGGTGTAGGCACAGACTAATAAATAATAATGTACTGTATAGGTATATTAATTCCATTGTAGTGTACAGTAGTCACTCTAAATTTGCATAATATCATGTAAAAAATAAAGTAGTAGTAGTTTCGGTGTGTCCTGAGTAATAGATACCTAATGAACGCTTTAATAAGACACAAGTTTAATTTTCATCTAGTTTAAATTTCTCCAACCGAAAACTAGGCTAGTAAGCAAACAGAATAAAGAAAAAAAACACATGCGTTGGCTGTTCTCTCCTTATATGACGGAGTCCAAAACTTTTAGAATTCGCAATCACGCGGCGTAAAGTTTCGCGTTGGGATTAAGTTTGACGTGAACCGAGGTATGTAGAACTGTATGTCGACACTGGAATCGAGATTAAAGTTCCCAAGAAATTGTGATTTGGTGTCGAAGTCTCAGGTGAGAGGCGAGAAGAGCAAAATATAAGAGTTTGTAGACAAACCCACTTTCTTATTTTAATTTTGATTCCAGGTTCGTCGATCTGTGAAAATAATTTTATTCCTTTGATATTAATTTGTTCCTCTTGCTTTAGCTCTAGTTTAATCTTGCTTTTCTGTAAAATAGACATTGTTCAGTACAATGCTTGATTTCGTCTAATCGTACACAAGAAAAGTAAGCAGGCACTGAATCTTATTAGGAACCCACCACAATGAACCGTTGTACAAAATAAAACACTAAAACTCACCGCGCTTAGCAAAATAGCTGTAGACTGCATTAAGAAACTGCTGCTCTCCAAGTTTGTAGTTCCACGCTGCAACTGTAATAGCGTATTTCTATTAGCCCGGGCGCCCTCTGTCGGCTGTCTGCGAAACTTTCGGATTGCTTGCTGCAATATGAACGGCATGGCCTTATTACAGTTCACCCTTCTTTCGTGTTTCTGCCGTAGGGTAAATGAAAACTTGAAGCGTGAGGTGGAATTGGTTTGTCATTGCGTGTCGCGTCTTAATATTAGGTCGGTGAGTCGGTTCCTACTTAGTTCATACACCATCAAATTTTAAATTCTTCATAATCTTCCTCTGATTTTACCTGACTAACCTAGGAAATATACAATTGTTTTAAGTAGGTATAATATTTTCGTGTAAATGTTATTTTATTTACAGGAACTATTAAGGCTTAAGGGTTGCACCATCTTACTTTAACTTTGACAAACGTCAGAAACTGTCAAGTATTACGTCACTTCTTGCAATTTCTTCGATAATTTATTGGAGGGTGTTACACAAAATTGCCCACAATTACTTATCAGCACTTCAGCAGCCATCTACACCACGTCCAGTTAACACGGCGTCAGACATTACGATGGAACGCAATTATGTTATTAACAACCACATATGCAAATCCAAATCGGCGGTCTAGACAACAGTCTACTAGACGTAGTAGATATTGAACTAGTACTGCACTGTAGGTATGCGACTTGGGCGCCACAATGATGCGATAGAAAAGTTACTTCTTTACATTGCTTCTTATGTGGGGATGAAGTCATGTGAGGTCTTAATAAGGCAGAAAAGTTCTCGAGTGGCGACCACGGGCTGGAAGACGTAGCGTGGGCAGGCCTCCTACTAGGTGGACCGACATCTGGTAAAGGTTGCGGGAAGAGACTGGATGCGGGCAGCGCAGGACCCTGCATTGTGGAAAACCTTGGAGGAGGCCTTTGTCCAGCAGTGGACGTCATTTGGCTGAAAGGAAGAAGGTCTTAAAATTCATCAGCAGACAGATTTCCGTTGCGGGTCCAATGACAGTTTAACTTAAGCTTCACTAGTTGGATTTTTATTGGTGGTCATATTGTAGTTCCTGGCTACACAAGAGTTGCAGCAGCAGACAGATTTAGTTATTTAATTATTTTTTTTAGCGTTAAGAGTCGCATCTCAAACTAATTTGAAAATTATAAATAACTTGAAAAAATCGAACTGCCTAAGGCGGGAATTGAACCCACGACCTTCCGCTTGCCGGGTGACTGCTCTTCCAACTGAATTTTTTCAAGTTATTTATAATTTTTAAAAGCAGACAGATTTACCCATAAACAGTAGTCAGTGTCCAAAATGCTCTAAATATTGTACTTTCTATGGCAACGTTTTATAAAAAAAAAAACACATATCTTTCTGTCTCTTTCTTATAATGTTATTACTTTTATAAAATTAATTTAGTTGTTTTTATGTGACATCTTACATCCATCATAAAATAATTGCGTGTAAATTATATCAGCATTGCTATCTTTTCTTTGATCTACATTAAAGCAACCGCCTCTGTGGTCTAGTGGTTAGACCACCTGCTTCAGACGCAGAGGTCCCGTGTTCGATTCCCAGGAGCAGAATTTTCTGTTTGGTTTGGTTGGTGGTACGCTTGTTCCAAGTCCGCCTGGCTAGCTGCAACCATCTTACGTAAGTCTGTCGCCATAACAACAATGTTAACAGCATTGTTGTATTCCGGCAGTTAGAGGTAAGTTACTTAGCCAGTTCATCTGTGGTTGAGGATTCCGGGTGAAATTCGCTTCCACCTTCGGCCTGATCATCACTTACCATCAGGTAAGATACATGCCAAGACCTTCCTCGTTGTGGATAAAAAAAAGACAGCTCCTTCCGTATAGTTAGTACAAAATAATCGCAAGTGTGTGGTGTAAATTGCTTCACTACTTCGGTACTACAGGAATCACACCCTATTATTAACAGTAGTTTAACTGCCTCGCGTCTTGATCCATGCTTAAAAATTCATATTTGGGAGTGGAAATAATTGGTGCCTTTGCCGCTTGGCGCTAATTTTCCCTGTACCGTTTGTCTGTTCCACGGTGCAACATGATTGTTTAAAATTTCATGTTACACGCCCTTCGTAAAATACACACTGAAATTCATTTTTTGATCTACTGTTCTACAACGACTTACGAGCCTGCTACGAAATGCGTGAATGTTTTACGGTTGTAGTTTTCAAGGATCTTTTTGGAAAAAATTGTCTTTTGAATACTTGTATCATTTTATATTTGTAGAGCCAATAAGTAAACTAATTCAGATTCTAAAAAGTAAATTAAAAAGAAAAAAGTTGTTGTCCAGAAGGGACTAATAAGGTTTAGTTAGATAATGACGACAATGCGCTTGTGGTGTCTAATAATATTTGAACTTTCATAAACTTTTCCACGTTATTAATGTGTGTTTTTAGAGATATAATGTGATACGCGCCATGACTACGAAAGTGCCGTCTGTGTGAGCCGGGTATTAGGGCAGACAGATCGGTCTATCTTCTGTCACTCTTCAATCCCTTTTAATGCTGTGTGATTGAAATGGGAACACTCGGTGTACTACCTATAGATTTCAAACTAATACTGAAACTTAAAGCACAGCACCACATAATTCTTCATTTTCAAAACGCTCCAATATTCGTATATTAAGTTTGAATGTTTTTATTCTTTCATCCTCACTTCGTATTCGTTACTGGCAAGTTTTAATTAAAGAGAGTTTAACTGTATCTGTTGTTAACAACATTCGATTACAAGTGTTGCCAGCTACTGTTCTGTTGCACGTTTCGTTCCATACCAATGCGCAATAAAAATCCAATTTTAAAAAATTAAATTTCCATTTGACGGCGTGTGTGTGACGAATGAAAATTGAGCGAAAGGGGTCGTCAACCCTTCCTTTAAATCCCACATATTAGTTAGTGCAACAATCTGTGTCCGAAATTATTATGGTGACAGACACTTTTTATACTGACATTAAATAGTACTATGAAAGTAAATTAATTTATCACCGCTCCATAACGCATAAATATGACTGAAGCACAGACACATTATTTCTATTAATAGTGAAGCTTGATGTTAAAATTTTAAATGTGATATCCAATTTGTTAAAATGCGGTCCATTATGAGACAGTATTATAAATACTTTAACGGATAATTTTAAAACGTTTCCTATATTTGTCCGGAATAATAGTGTAAAAGGCTTGGTATAACGGCAGTATCGATTAGATAATTTGATTCATACACTATTACCGTGCCGTATTTCTTGTTTATGTCAGCCGTAACCTCTGACGCCGGCCTATTTAGTGAATATAATTAATACGGATCTAATACGATAAACAGCCCGTTTCCTTCCCCCATCGAAACTCATAAACAACCGCATCAGCAAATAAAACTTCTAATTCTCACACGAGCGTAAACCAATTGGATCGTAGTAATTTACGAGTTAAATCTAAAAATATGTCTTTTCGATGGCGTTCCGTCACAGATGGCTACACCATAATATCGCAGACCCCTACCGAGGGGCGCCACTTATTTTATAAAGTTTGAATAAGATTTTAAAAAGCCGGAGTTGGCTATGATTTTCGGGGGGAACAACGGGGATTTGGTTTTGGGAAATTGTGTGGGTCTTTTTCGCACTTGAGTAATAATAATAAGCCAATATAAAGACAATGCGATAAACAGTCGTTTTGCTATTTCTGTTACGATCAATCTTACAATTTCTAGGTAGGTAAATGTGTTAGAAACGAAACACGCTGAAAATAAAATAGAGTTATTAAAATAAATATTTCTTAAAATCATGCTCTTCTCTCAGAGGATAGAAATGAAAACGGAAATGCCTTTTTCATATTGTACAATGAATACGCTTCGCTGTTAAATACCCCAACATTCGTAAGGCTTGTACCAATCCAGACTAAGCCCGACGCGAGTACTGTGATCAGTGCGACTCATTCCGTGGCGCAATAAAACTTTATTTTTGTGGAACACTTTTTATTTCTGCCCTGGTTTATTTCCCTGGGCACAATAAGGATCAGTTTGCGCAAGCGGGTAATTCGGTATCGTCGCGTTACGTGACCCCCACGAACAATGTTCTCGACGTGTTCGTACTATTGCCTTAGGCTTCCCCTCTTCACCATGCCACTAAGAAGTATCACTACGATTTTATATTATACAGATCTGCAAATATTTAGAACTGACACCAAAGATTACAATTTCATAAGTGACCAAATCTTGGCATCGATGTATGAGTAACTTGGGAAAGACTACTCATACTCATACTTAATTTGTTCTCCATCTCTCCACTGTTGGCAGATTGCCTGGTGCAGTAAGATAAGCGGACATGATTCCCTGTACATTACCTGTCATGACCATATTGTGACGCCTTCACAGCTTACAAGGAGTAAATCAATAGATGAGCATGCTCTTTGATCAGTTCTTCAAAGCAATTATGTTTGAAAGGAATGGCATATAGAAGAAACTACGCGTTACAATGAAACAAAAAATCTATCAATTTAAGTACATGAATAAAAACATGGAACAGCGCGAGCTATCCCCGAGATGTAGGTACGCGTAGGTTCCATGGTGTAGACCCCGTGCCTAGCGTAGAGCTAAAGGGGATAAGACATGAATAATCCACGGACGTTAAAGTGCATTAAAGAGTGAGAAATCCATAGGTGCAGGGTCCAGTACGTGAAAATTGCCTCTTCATGACACTACTACTGCATTTAATTTGGGTTGAAGAATAGTTATTTCTCAAAATAAGTCTCGTGGATATGAGATGCTTTCCTTATGTTGTGAGAATTATTTTTGTCGTCTGAAAGACAGATTTGAATAGAAAATGTGATCTTAGAACGGTATAGTGAATCACCATTTGCCAATGGTACGGATCGTCGAAACCATTATTAGTCGACAGTTGGTTCCAGGAATAAATCCATCACCGCTTCAATTCCTTTTCCAATTTTCGTCAGAGATCTTACTTAGGTAGTGGCAATTTAGATACTTAAAAACAATTGGTATCCAAACGCTTGATATTTGTTTAGATTTAAATATATTACACTACTGCTATCTAAAAGTCTGTACTCTTTGCCATCTCTACGAGCTTCCAGTGCACGGTGGAGGCGCATCATTATTCGGGCTGCGTGCGTCG